AAACATGCTAACAGACTCACAGACATGACGAGGACCCGAGTGCTGTAAGAGGCTGAGTGGGGGAGATGGGATGGCACCAGTGAACATACTTATTTTATATCGTGAGAAATACTATCTAGTGTTCATTTATTTTGTCTCATAATCAGGATCTAGAATATCAGTTTACCAAAATTCCCATTTGTAGTTAACCAGAATAAATTTTGTTCTGTTCTTTTTTTTTTTTTTCAAGACAGTCTTCTGTTTTGGAACTCTTTAAATTAGTGGCACAAAGCAGTGTGTGGTCATGTGGAAGTGATTTTGTTTCTCTTATTGAAGACTTTTTGAGATTTGGGTGCTATTTTTTTTATGGCAAGTTTCTCTTTGGCAAGTTATGATGGATTGGAGGTGGCACATTCCTGAGTTTCAGCACCCAGCGCAGCGCCAGATGAGACGAGGCTGAATGCCAGTACCGGTTCTCCCTCAAGTAGGAAAAAAGTCACAGCACCTGAACGGGAAGCTCTGCCTTCGAGGAGCCTTCGGGCTCCTCTCACTCACCCCCTGACCTTCCCCACACTGGGCAGCCTGCTGGGTCAGCCGTCCATTACAGGCCAGGTCCTGTCTTTGGCCCTGGGTGCTCCCCTCTGAGCCTCAGTTTCCCCAGCAGCAAAATGAGTAGGTCAAACTAAGTCATCTCTGAGGTCCCTTCCATTTCCAAAATGCTTTAGGTCGTTCTTCTCATTTAGAATATGAAAGTCTCTGTTCACCTTAGTCCCTGTTTATATTTAGCTTCATGCATCTGACTTGAAGGGAGAGCCTTTGCAAAATAGCGGCAGTTCCTGAAACTTGATGTTTAAAAAAAGAATACAGAAGAAGTCAGTACTGAAAGCTGGAATGTGATATCAGTAGCATAACAAATAAAAATGATTATTTTTTTAAAATTCCAACCATAGAATTTAATTTTATTTCTTTTTTTCTATTTAAGAGAAAAGTAACACAAGCTTGAAAAGCAGTAAATATGTAAAGAGAAAATTTGTCAACTGATATTGGAAGATCTGACCTAGGTCACACATAAATCTCTCAGACAAGAGCTGCAGGGCAAGCCGTAATTTCAGAGAGTAAAAGAGAAAATGAAAGCTATTGCTGGTGTCTTCTCTAAGGTACACAGGTGGATTCATTTTAGCTTTCTGATTGTGTTTCTGAAGATAATGTGAAAGGGCTGGTAGCCACGTCGGTCTGACCACTGTCTGTATAAAGTACTTCTGCAGATAGGGAAGCACAATGTGAGACTCCCAAAGCTGCTTTTCATCACCAGGGTCAAAGCCCCACGAGAAGACTTTTGCATTGGCAATTTCCTTTCCAGGCTCATTTTCCAAACTCTTAAGTCATGTTACAGGAACTTTTCTAATTGCCAATTATGTAGTGCTTGCAAGTAATACACGATAAATGTTACTGCAGTAACATCCTGATACCTAACCAATAACTTGCCTGACCGGTAGGAAGTCATTCTTCCCCTTTTAAACACATAAGGGCCCGTCTTACGTTAGAATAAGGCACAACTAACCCTTGTGAGTGTAGCTTAAAATCTTGGATCTAAGGGCTGGCAAAAAGAAAAAAAGCTATGTCCAGAAGAGGGAAGAGGTTCATTTAATTAGTGTATCAAAATGCTACTGGTTCTAGAAACTAATCAACAAAGGGTTTGACTAGAGCAATTACTATTCATAGTCCCAAAGTACTAGTTAGACATAGAAAACTCAACATAAGCAAAACGTACAAGCAAGAACGTGGACTTGGACAAGTTAGTTATAAACTACATTTCATATGTTGTGAGGTGCAGGCAATATGTCAGCCATAACAATGTTATTGTATTCCTCTGAACTCTGCTCTCACAGCTGAGTATTTGGAAGGCAGACCCAGAATAAAGAGAGGCACTCACGAAACTCACATTTTATATTGAGTACCCTTAGCACCACTTTAATATGCTATAAAACTAGGGGCTCCACTGTTTCTTGAACTGTGTGCCAAAGCAGAAGCAGTGACTGGAGGTTGACTTTGTTTGGATCTGTTTTATGGTTGCTGCGCCTGCACTGGAATGTGATCTTGAAAAAGGTAAACAACAAAGAGTTTAGCAGTGAAAAATATGCCTAATATAAATACAGTCGAGTCCATGGCAGATCAGAATGTGAAAAATATGACTGTGGCATTAAATTTTCTGGTGGAATTAACAGAGGAACAGAATATAGCCTTTAAGGCAATATATCTGAGACAGAGAAAGGAGATAATACATCTAACTCTGTGGTCTGTGTGGCAGTCATATAAAGAAAAGCACAGTAGCTTTATTTAATTGAGAAAATGAATCAATTACAGTGATGTTGCATCATCAAATTCTTGCAAAATAGAAGATATAAGTCACCACATTGTGTAACAGCGTTAAAAAGTAATTGAGTATCTTAAGCATTTTGAATCAATTTCAGGTACTGGCACTGCTACCTTAATACAAAATTTATGAAGATGATTTCGTATAATATGTTACTATCAAAACTGTAATAAAACCCAGTAACAATGTCTCTCTTTAAAAATCTAGGCAAACAGTATAGTTATAAGATCATAAAAAAAAAGACTTTGATATTTCTGTTTCTCCCTTACTAATAGTATAGAGCCAGCATTAAAATAATAGTTTTAAGTTGTCTGAAACCATGCATTAAACCCACAAAATCAGGAAAGGTGGAGACCCGCTCCAAGATCTCGGGTCGTAAGGAAATGTCCTCCTTTTACTCATGTTGCTCCCACCACGCCTGTTGTTGGGAGCGACGTCTCATCATCCCTTCCCGAATTCATGCGGAGCATTCCTCTCAGAACGTTTGGTTTGCCGCGTGTTTTCCTCAGAGAGTGCTGTGTTCCCCATGACTGTGGGAAGTTTGCGAAAAACAATTCTTTGTTCATTACAAGTAACTCTGCCATTGAAGTAGATGTATCTTATCACGAATGGGAGAACATGAGTAGGGTGGCATGTCCACGTGCCCTTGAAAACATAAAAGCAAAGTTACCTGGGCTTTTCAGGATTTTTTTAAAGGTGGTATAGCTTGTTACTAAAATCCTTAACCATTCCAGAGTGGTAGTTAACAGCTCTGTCTTCCTTTTTAATATAAATCTTCACTCGCAAAGCCTTATCCAGAAGTTCTCATTGACTAGAGCAGGGGTGTCAAACTCATTTTCACCAGGGGTCACATCAGCCTCACGGTTGCCTTCAAAGGGCTGAAATAACTTTAGGGCTGTATAAATGTAACTACTCCTTAACTGTTAAGAAGTTGAAAGTACATTCAGCCCTTTGAAAGCAACCTCAAGACTGATGTGGCCCCCGGTGAAAATGACTTTGACACCCCTGGACTGGAGGATCAAGCAGCAGTAACTGAGATGACATTAAGTAGACTAAGACTGCACCTGAAGCTAATATATACTACTGAATGTCAACTGTAATTGGAAAAAAATTCAATTTTTAGGTAGACTAAAAGCCAGTTAGCCTGGGATAGGGGTTTTTGGGAGCAGTGTTTGGGGAGGGAAGGGGTGATAAAGAGCCAGGAGCTGTGACGGCGGACACCGTGTTCAGTCAGGGTTATACACGGAAAAGCACTTCCTGAAACACTCAAGCCCTGGGTGCAAGGGTCTGCTAATCAGCCATATGGATGCAAAAATAAAAAAGAAAAGAAAAGAAAGAAAGAAAGAAAGAAACATAGCTTCTGTCTTTCAGAAGCTTACAGTCTAGTTGAGTAAAACCCACATGCCAGAATTGAGAATTTATCAACTTCACCATTCCAAGTGTATATGTAGCTCTGGTTGTTTGTAAGTAATCCTGTGACTGTAGGCAGGCACACTGGAGATGCTGCAGAGAAAGGAACGCTGGAGAAGACCCAGCACAACCATAGCCTGTTCCTGTGGCCCCGCCCTCTGAGAGGCCCAGTCTTCCCATCACAGAATAGGGATGATCGTCCCTCCAACCTCAGAGTGGCTGTGGAGGTCAAGTGGGGGTGTGTGTGTGAAAGAACCTGTAAAGGCACCATTAAAAACATAGGGGACTATTACTGTTTTTCCTATGTGTTACCCACTGGTTGCAGCTCAGTTATCCCAGCAACCAACTGGGTATCGGTTGTATTTCATTTCTGAAATTTTTCTTCTAAGGAAATTTGTACCTGGGACTCCATTTTCACTGAGCTTTAGTAACTGCTGGCTTGGGGGAGGTGCATTGAAGTGTTTCATACTTTAATTACAGTGGATGTTTTATTAATTTGGTGTCACATTTTAGTAACTTTCTGAGAGAGATGGTTTGTTGGTATTAGATGTGTGAGTGGCCTGCCTTTAGAATGTTGATTAGGAAAAGGCATGTGTGACTGCACTCTACTTGATCCCCTGAAAAACAGTGTAAAACTTGCATGGATTTTATTTTCCCAGAGAGCTTTGCTGCCCTGGAAACAGGCTGAAGGAACTTTGGAAAAGGCGGAGTCTTCACCCCACTCCTGAGTTAGAGACAAATACTTCAACCACATAATTAAAGTTTTCTTCACAAAATAGGGGATTGTGAGCAAACACTGGCAGGAATCCAAAATTCTAATTTCTGACTATGATTTAATTTCAATTTTAAATAAATCGGTTTTTAATTTAAAAAGAGTGAGCTTCATAACATTAGCAATGATTGCAACATTAAACCCAGTGTTCACAATCTAGCAATATAAAACATTATTTATATCTGAATCGTAAACAGCCTTTTGAAATGGATTATGGTTTTTCTCCCTATTCTAATACAACCTGGAGGGTACTAAAAAGTGTTGTGTGAAATTAACATTCTGCTGACTTTCGCCTATAAATGAGAAGCGAGCTATTAACATTTGTGTATTTTCATTATGTAAATTGTGTTAACACATGCCCACAAATTGCCACCAGCAATGCAATAATTTTCTCTCAGTGATCATAATGTGTCCAAGTGAGTCATTTTGATTATGACATGCTAATTACATATTGCCTTTTTTCAGATTCAGAAAAACCAGGGATCTTTAATGGTAAGCTTTATGAGTTCAGAAAAAAATTCACTTTTCTTTTTCCTGATGGCTGCTTCCTTTGCATGCTTGAATGCCTTGTTTTAAACTTAGCAAATTGCATTTTGAAGAAAATGCAAACCTTTAACTGCCTGTATTAGATTAGGTACCATTAGAAATAATAGAACATCCTGAGCATCAATGTTTTTATAAGAGTTTGCTGTTGTTGATTAATCTTGCTATATTTTATTGCATTAATGATTTTTTCTTTCCACTCCACTGTAAAGATATTGCATAGAGGCTAATACTTTTTCCTCTCCTTTTTCCCATTGCAGCCTCTCCAGCTTCTGCAGTGCATTGTTGATGAGGTGAGGCATCGTCTTATGTGCTTTCACTCCTAAAGTCATTCCTAATGGTGTGGAAAGCTTATATTTTGTTTCCTAATGAAGCACAATGCCCAACATCCTCGGAGCAAGTTGTGTTGCATGGCTCTGGGCTGTTACGTGGACGGGCCCTGTCCTGAGTCTGGTTCTGGCCGAGAGTCCCACAGGCTCGTCCTCGGGGCTGTCAGATGCCCTGCAGACAAAATGTGATGACATTAACATATCCTCTCCTTGGCCAGATGGGTATGGAGCCGGAAATTAAAGTGGTACCATTTTTTTTTTCTGTAACAGATATTTAAAGTCATTCAGTAGGCAAGGGTCAGAGCTGAACAGCAAATATAAGCCAGATACAATGTGTCTCCCTTGCTTTATTTAGCCAAAGCATATCAGAGTGCTAAAAATTGTTCAAAAGCTCCAGGTCAACAGCTGAGCTTTAATTCCTTCATTAGGCATTTTCCCCAGAATATACTCCTAACTTCTTGCACTTATAACCAGTATCCTCACGTGTTAAGTCATCCTACCCCTGGTCCTCCTCAGCCGAGTTCCACTGTCCCTTCGCCTTCATGGAGTCAATATGCCTACCTTTCTTTCTTGATCAAGTTTGTCTACTTTTTATTCTAACTTTAAATTCATTTTTTCCTGTAAATTAGTCTTACAGTACACAAAGCTCTCAATTAAGAAGCAGTAATGTTTTTTAAAAACTTGAGTTTTTCTAGACTTGGGCTTGCCTACTAGCAATGTTTATTTTTTAACTTTAATTTTACAATATTTAAAACACTTGTAATGAAGGCAATAAATGAGTCAGATAGGAAAGTTTGAAAGAAAAAAAACAAATCGTAATTCATAATTATTCCTCTCAATTAAACATCTGTATAACCAGTTATGAGATTTGGGGGAAAAAATAAAGATCCTCCTAGGAAAAAAACAAATGCGAACACATATCCCAATAATAGTAAGAGTGGGGCTCCAAGATCCTTAATGGTGCATCAATCGGTCCATACATCCCCTGCAAGCCATAAACCATGTTGGTGCAGAAATGAGGGCATCGTCCTGAAACAAATGGAGCCCCCATTATCTCAAATATCAGATGGCCTTCTGCATCTAATAGCTCATCAATATCTTCTGTCATCTTAGATTCCAGAAGCATCCTATCCCCATCAGAACCCTCCCAAATAAACTGATTTTCCTAAGGTTCCCCTCCAGGATCGCTTAAGAATGTGCCCAGGGAAACTTGGCCTGTCTGGTCAAGTGCACGGCCTGCCACACTTCCGGGGCCCTCCCATTCTCGGTCTGCCAGGCTCCTGGACATCAGACCAGTCAAGTACAGATGTTCTTCACCAGTGATGTGCGTGTTACTGGAGAGCTCGTCTGAAGGTTTTCTAGACCAAATGGATATTGTCATTTCTTATTTAAAGTAGCAGTAATTGGTACTAAATTTTAAATATTTTACTTTTTTAATTTGGGCAAAATCCTAAAACTCTTGAAATTGTCACAGGGAGATGTTCTATCTAAGGCGGGAAGGTCCATGTGATGAAGGGCCTTCCTTCATCACACGGTAATTTAAACCGTGTAATTTAAATTTAATTTAAACCGGTAATTTAAACATCACACGGTGTAATTTAAATCATATGTGTTTCTTTCTTCTTATGTAAAAATATAACTTAGACACCTATTCTTACTTCCTCTAAAAACATGAAAAGATCTGCCCAGGCTGGTGTGGTTCAGTGGATTGAGGTCCGGCCTGCGAACCAAAAGGTCGCCGGTTCAATTCCCTGTCAAGCACATGCCTGGGTTGCAGGCCAGATCCCCAGTTGGAGGCAAGCAAGAGGCAGCTAATCAGTGTTTCTCTCCCTTTCTTTCTCCCTCCTTCCTCCTCTCTCTGAAAATAAATAAATAAAATCTTTTTTAAAAAATAGAAATGAAAATATCTTATTTATGGAAACTTGGAAAATTCACATGGTCTTCACCAAAACAAACATAAGTGGGTCTTGGAACTGAGCTGATATTCAGTGTAAGAGCATTAGGAAAGAAGTGGCCAAATGACCTTCAGGCAAGGTGCATCATGCTTTCTGAGAAAGAGAGGGGTTCTGGGGTCCTATAATTATGATGCTTGTCCCATATTCACCAGGTTTCTCATTGCTGTGACACAGTGTTTCTGAAGAGTGGTCCAAGGGCCAGCTGCTTGGATACACCTCAGGCTCTTGCTGAAAATGTAGATGCTTGCACCCAGATCGCTGCATTAGCTTTTCCAGGTGTGCAGCCTATGAAACCACACTTATACTGGCTTCCCAGGTTACTCTTTGCACAATTAAAGTGTCAGAACCTCTTCCATAATGGCTTTTTAGGCTAAGACCGACTGTCCTTTTAGATCCCAGAAGGCAGTGAACTATCTTCATTTGCATCTGACTTTTAGGGCTCTTATTCCCAAGTGAATACAACCAGCCAGGATTTGAGCCATTTTACTACTTGGGCATGAGATACACTCCATTGTGAAAAGGATGCTATTTCTGTTAGAGAAAAGTCAGATCAAAAAGTACCGCCTTTAAGGGAGCCTAATTCAAACAAGATGGATGTAGTTAGAGTCATTTACAAAATGGCAAAGAAAGTCCAGTGTAATATACTTCATTAGTATGTGAATGCAGCTTGAGCTCCTGACATAGCCTGGCAAAGCATAAAGAAGTAGTAAAACAAGGCCAAGTGTGCAGGAGCCAGTCCTGGAGCAGACAGAAGTAAATGGCAGAGCCACTCTGGGATTCTGGAGATGGAATTGTGGAACAAATCCGGAGTCAGACACCAGGTATTCAAATGGATTACACCAAAAGTTCAGCAGAGGACTAAGAATCATGAACATGAAACTTGGACCCTAGAATAGGAACTAGAAGGGTAGCCAAGGTAATAGGAGAATCAAGCTCCGATCAGGAATCTGGGCAATCCAGTTTAATTTTGGTGGGTGGGGTTTAGTCTGGTTTGGGGCTAGCTAACTCAGCATGTGACACCATCTGATGCCCCAGAGTTGCTTCTCTTCAAAGCACTTCTTACTTTAAAACCTCAGGTTTTACTCAGGCCTCTCCAAGTCCCTGAATACCTGTTATAAAGAACTTTGGTGTATCGTAAGTGATGTGTGTCTGCGTGTGCTGTGAGGCATCTGATATCTTTGGAGAACAAGGTGGCCCTAATTGTAGAAAACTGCAGTTTACTACTATAAGCTCTAATAACAATGAGAAAATTTGCATTTTTAGAAAGAGATGTTTCTAAAATGTATTTGCTCTTGGTAGCCTGTTGACAGAGTATACTGAATATCATTTAACTTTTTCTTGATGACTCAGGTCCGTGGTTTGAACATGGTACTTTGATGTATTGATGCCCTCCAGAGCTATAGAATTGTATGGGGTTGCCTCGTTCTTGCATCGAATTTCACCAACCACTTTGCCTGTGTGTTTGGCCTCGGCACTCAGTGACACGCTTGGACCTCTTGAAGTGTGTAGAGCTATTTGCTCCCAGGCTGAATGGCCCTACTTGGCTGTGCTGCTCCGAGTGGTGTTTTTCCTCTGTTCTCTCCTGTGATCGCCTCTGTTTTCTGTAGTCACCCCTCATTCTTGTTGGTGGCTACCTACTGCCACAGCGATCTGACCACCTGTCTTCAGTCTTTGCACTCCTGATAATGACCTTAGCAAAAATAAAAGTGACAAATGAAATCAGATACCTACAGAATGCTCTCTGTATCCATGATTCTGTTTCTGTTCCTCTTGTTTACTTAGTTTGTTTTTTAGGTTCATTTGTTGATAGGTATATATTTATTGCCCTTTTGTTGTCCATAGTTTCTATCTTTTCATGGTTGTCAAATGGGAAGGGGCTGTGAGGGAATGGGTGAAGAGCTGAGGGGATTGAGAAGTACAAATAGGTGGTTACAGAACAGCCATGGGGATGTAAAGTACAGTATAGGAAATGGAGTAGCCATAGAATTTACATGCATGACCCATGGACATGAACAAGGGTGGGGGGATTGCCTATGGGAGTGGGGGGTGCTGGGTACAGGCAAAGGGGGGAAAGTTGGGTCAATTATAATAACATGATCAATAAAATACAATTTTAAAAAAAGAAATCAGATACCTAAGTGGTATGTGTAAGGTCAAACACACTCATCTGAGAAGAGAGATAGTGCTTAACCCCTTCTTTAATGAAGTAAAATTAAAGTGGGCTTCTGTTCACTCATTCAGCAAATTGTTTTCAAAAACGTGCACTATATGCTCAAGTTGTGCAGGTCATGGTCAGGACAGCCTACAAGCCTACAGAGAACTGGACTAACAGGCAGGGTACCCAGGCCAGCTGCAAACTGGGTCTGTGAGTCAGGGTAGGAAGGCAGAAGTACATTCCCAAATCCTGGGCCAACACAATGTGCTGGGACTTGGGGGCTGTGTAGCTATCTAACACACTACCCAACCTTTGGGCTCCCAGTTTGTCCCACAACAAAGGACTGGCCACACTGGTGGTGTGACAGGTGCAAATAGAGCAGTGTTATCTGAGTCACCAAATCCCAGGTTGGCTGGAGCCAGCGAGTGGGAATGATCAGTGGATTGAGGTGTGGGAATTGCAATGAATAAAGTAGGGATTCCCCCTTGACCTGCCCCCAGGTAGTTCATAGCCTTGGAAAAGATATGGACTTGAAAGTGGATAATTATTTCATTGTAGGGTGTGTGCTACACAACTCCAAGATAGGAGGGTTAGTTCAGTCAGGGGAGGGTTTGTTCTGGGGGTGGATTTAGGAGATGCCCCTCAGGGGAGGTGGCATTTAAGCTAGCACCTAAAGGACAAACAGAAGTTTGCCAGGTCAAGAAACAGTAAATGTCAGAAGGGCTTCAAACTTTCTCGTGAATCATTTTTGAGTTCAGAGATGTGTTTGAGAATGTTTGGGTTGTCTAAAATATGACAACGACAACCAGGAAAATAGTTTATTACTCTGAATATATATATATATGTTTCAAGTA